GCTCCAGCACCTCAATGTCCTTCTTGTCATGAGGGGCCCAAAACTGAACACAGGATTCGAGGTGCGGCCTGACCAGTGCCGAGTACAGGGGCAAAGTTCCTGAGGATTTGGGGGAACAAGGAAATTTTGGACTCAAAATTTCACAGCTCAGCCCTGAGACCCCTGCAGAATAAATAAATACAGAAGGTAAGAGGAGGAGACCAGTCACAAGCTCTGGCTCAGTGCAATGCCCTGTCCTTCTCAGCTTTTTCCACATGCTCCCGTGGCCCCAGAAGGATACCTGAATCCTGTCACCAAGGGACAATATCTGAGAATGAAAAGGGACATTTGCTGTGACTGCTCATTCATTCCTTGACTTCTCTGCAAAACTGGTGCAGGTAGGAGCTAGGTACCTGCCACTCTTATTTTTGGGGGCTAGCATCCAGAAACTGGACAAGAGATGAACACGAATCCTGACAAATCCTTGCAACCACAGTAATTTTACTGAAAACTTGCTTGCTACTGCAAGGGCAACCATCACTCACCCAGTGTGTGCAAGCCTTCAAATGCAAGCTGCAGCCACCCTGCAGAGAGGAATGTCCTCCGGTTGGCTGCTGTAGCTTGAACACCAAGAGCACATCTAGTTGCCCATATGACCTCTGTGTGCAATCTCTGAACACAACCCGAGGGAGAAGAGATACCAGCACAAAATCCACCTGCAGGTACAGCACTTTTCTGACAGTTATGTACACCTTAAGTGCCGTGCAGCCCCTGCTCTAAATAAGACAGTTTCCTTCCACCGTGGGTTCGAATCTTTTTTCTACCCTATCTCCAGTACTTCATGTGGCAAATAAGAAATTCAATACAAACCCATTTCCTGAGACAGCCAGCTTTCCTGGGAAATGTCCTTCCCTCTTTGTACACTACTTTGAGAAATGTCTTTGTCATTAATGTAAGAACCCCCTTCCGCCAGCAGCTACCCTGAGCTAACACACATTAATTAATGACTAAGGAAGTGGCTGTATTCCCCTGTGCAACTTCATCAGCACCCGCTAAAGTTTATGGCAGAATTCCTACTCACTTCATTAGATGGAGGGTTCAGGTCCATAATATGTTTATCTTTTTAATTTTTTTTCTTTTTTTTCCATGCATACAGGAGGGAAAAATGAAGATAAATACAGAGCAAATGTTGCTTCAGCATTCATATCATAGAATCACAGAATCATTGAGGTTGGAAAAGACCTTTAAGATCATCGAGTCCAACCGTAAATTCAATACTGTTTGCACTGCAATGGTGTAGCTACATGTTTGCATCTCAGCCAGTGCTGCTGGACCCTCTTCAGACGAAGGATCTAAAGACATTTCCCAACCCTGTTTCAGCCAAGAATCGCACAAGTGACCTTGCAGTGACCTTGGATCCATGTGTTATCAGCATCCTTGGCGATGGCATCCTCTTTGAATGGATGAACATCTAGGCTGTACGCACAATTAAATTACTGGGAATTTTACTGCTAATTCCCTCAGGGCAGGAACAGGCCAAACATATTATCCTGGAAGCGAAAGGAAGACGTTTCAAGCCTCCTACACAAAGATAATAAATGAAGTTGAGAGAGTGGGAGCCGTTCACAAGCCCGTGAGGGGAGGCAAAAAAAAAGCCAGTGACGTAACAACGGCTGACGATCCCTCATCGGTGATATGGGTGCGTCCTGCCGGCTTTTCCCCATACAGGGGATTTTTAGCACCGGCAGAGCCCCTGCACACCATCGGGGCCGATTATTTTCAGAGTGTCCAATTTGGAGGCTGTTCACACTTGCAAAGGACCTTTCTCCCAGGGCGCTTAAGTACCAGTTAATTCCTGATACCTTGTGACTATCCTTGAGGGGAAAAGTCTTATCGCATTTCACAGCTGAGAAAACCACAGCGGAGAAGGGATGCGATTTGCACGAGGCAATGGCAGAGCCGGGAATCCCTATTCAAACTACAGGTCATGCGTTTTTCCTTTCAAATCAGATCTGCTTTTCCCTGTTTGCCTCTTTAACGATGTTCGGTTTGTTCTCTGCCTGGTCGGCAAGGAAAAGGAGAGCTGTCTGCAGGGCTTGGGGGACTATCAGCTGCGGAAAGCGATTTAAGACCTGGGCAGAGAGGGAGTTAGGCAATGCTGTGAAAACCCAGGCAGCAGCTGCAAATCCATTTCTCTAATCCACAAGCCCTGAGACCCAAATTCTGCCTCAGATCCCTTTCCACGTGGGCTGAGCTGGTCTGCTTCATGGGTGCAACTTCTAACATGCCGTTTCTCTTAACTTCAGCTATTTAACTCGATGATTTTATCACAAAGTGGGCTAAATCATCCTCTCCATGATCTCGCTCACATAATTATAGCAGTAGCCTAGGTGAATCAGTAGCCTGGTGTTTATAGGGCTAAAGATAGAGAAAAGAAACTCAGTTCTTGGACACTTCTCAATATCCCTGTATCCACCTTAAGCTCTCAGAAACGTTGGCCCGAGTTTTCCATCCTTGTGTAGGAGAGGGTGCGGGAGGAGCAAGTTTTGAGCACTGGTATAATTATCTCAGCTCTGTGATGTTTCCAGTAGCACTAATTTAATGAATGCTCAGGTTAACGACTCTGAAGATCGAAGCACTTATTAAATGCTGCTTTCAGCATTCAGCCTCCTGTATCCTGGTGGTGAAATACTTCTGATTAGCAACACACACCAGATACCTGCTCCTGCTCTTCAGTCTGAGTGCCAAGTTTCTGGACAGCAAAAAAACTAAAAATAGCATCTTTGCTTCTGTTGCATGTTCTTTGTCAACTAGAAGATGCATGAAAAGGAACCACATCAAATCAGGTCCGGTGCTAAATTCATGTCTTCCACAACTGCATGTTAATCCTCCCATTAGGAGAGGTGAGAGCAATGATATATTCGCTGATAAATAGTTCTGGCTTGTATAAAAACTGTCACCGACTAACAAGGCGCCTTGTTCACTGAAGCTGATCAAAAGTTTCATCCTTTTCACCGCGGCCAAAGCCTTTTTGTGAACACCAGGAGCCTTTCTGTTGACTTTAGTGGGCTTTGGATCAAGAGTGTAATCTTCTTCCTTTCGTATTTGTATTCGTGTCTGCAACATGGTAATTGATCGGAACGAACACCTTCAGCCACATAAATCTTCTTAGGTGGGAGAAGCTCTGGGGGAGGAAGAACAACCCATCTGATACTCATTAGGTGGATACACAATCCTTGCAAGTCATTGCTGGTTTCACATTGGTAAGCTCTGTGTAAATTGGAGAGAATCAGCATGTGAATAACAACACTTGCCATTAGAGCTGCCCCGGCTGCACGAAGTAAAGGCTTTTGCAAACAGATGATTTCTTCAGTTACTTCACCGTGAACAAGCTGTCTTCAGAGACAGGTGGAAGGAAGGAGGCTATGGCCCTTTTTTAGCATGCAGGTATCAAAAATGAACCAGGTAACACAGGGCACCTGGACTCCTTTCATGGGATCCCTCTGAGATCTCAGTTGAGAGCCTTCAGCTACTCTCTCCCTCCGTCCCCTTGCTGGAAAATGGGACAACAAGACCGCTCTACTCCATCCACACAGATGTCAGCAGGGTCCATTAGTAACTATGGTGGCAGGGACTTAAAGGCAGTTATAATGCATCTGGCCAAAGCCCCATGTGGCCCAGACTCCTGTCTCTGACAGTCATCTGCAGCAAGTGCTCAGGGAAGGAGAATGAGAAACAGGGCAAGTATTTACAGAGTTGTATTTACATCACAGTGGTTAATAGCCTTAGAGAGATCTTCATCCAGGAAGTTATCTAATTGCTTTTTGAATCCATTTATCCCTTAGGATAAATACCCACAATATCCTGGTCAGTGACTTCCATAGTTTAATTATCTGTTGGATGAAAAAACACTTCCTTCTCTTTGTTTTAAATCTGCTGCCTGATACGGCCATCTGACATCCCCTCCTTCATGTGTTTCGAACAGTAGTGACAAGAGGACAGCTCCTGACTGTCCTCTCCTTGCTGCCTTTGGAAATCTGTGTCATATCCCCATCACACATCTCTTTTACAAGCCTCAGAGTCCTGCTCTGTTATTCCTCTTTCTGCCAGATGCCATTCCGTGTCCCTGTTCATCCTTCCTACTCTTCTCCTTTCTAAAACTACTACTCCTTTCTCAGGTGGGGTGGACGGGAATCGCACACCGCACACAAGACGTAGGCTCCCAAGATTAGTGCCCTGGCACAAC